GGAGAATATTCACAGGTCTCAACAGATGCTTTCATCAAAGATGCACAAACAAGCTCATGAACTTAGACACACAACAAAGAAGCTTGCCAAGAGAACAAGTAAACAAACCATCGGTCATTAAGAAATACAAATAACTCAGAGGGGACAGGAACTCCCCAAGAAGACCAATAGAGCCAACTAATCTGGGCCCAAGGGGGCTTGCGGAGACTAAAGCACCAACTAAGGACCATATATGGACTGGACCTAGGTCCCCTACACATCTGTACTTGATGGGCAGCTTGGTCTTCATGTGGGTTCAAAAGGGGCGGGGATATCTCTGACATGGACTCTGTTGCATGCTTTTCTATCACTTCCCCCTGTCAGGCCTCCATGGAACAGTATGTGCTCAGTCCCTATGACTTGATGTACTGGGGCGGTTTAGAAGAAATGGGGACTTGACTTCCAGGGTAGCTCACTACCTTGAAGTGTGAACTAAAATAAACCCTTCTTTTTTCGATTGCTTTTACCAGGTTCTCTATCTATCATCTATCTATCAATTACATACCCTTAAGACTCTATAAGGCTTACTCTGAGCCTCAGTAACTAGCAGTTTCCAACATCAAGGAAGCCAGACCCTGGAAAGTATTTAGGCTTTATGGCTAGTATAATGCTCACTGCTGGCACTAGTTTAAATAATTATCCACTTTGATCATTATATCTGTCTTTTGGGTGATATTCTTTTCAGAATCTCTAGCTATCCACCAAACTTCAAGCTAAATATGCACTTTGGAACAGTTTTAATGGTGGAACGGTTGTGAGCTCCTTGTGAAGAAAAGAAAAGCAGAAAGGCTCTGCCCTGCAGACTATCAAAGCAGATGCTGAGATTTATGCCCAACCTTAGGGCAGAGTGCAGGGAATCTTATAAAAGAAGTGAGAAATAGTAGGATCTGGAGAGAACAGGAACTCCACAAAGAGAGCAATAGAACCAAAAAATCTGGACATAGGGGTCTTTCCTGAGACTGCTACTCCAACCAAGGACCATTCATGGATTTAACCTAGGACCCCTGCACAGGTGTAGCCCATGGCAGTTCAGTGTCCCAGTGGGTTCCATAGTAATGGGAACAGGGACTGTCTCTGACATGAACTGATTGGCCTGCTCTTTAATCACCTCCCCCTGATGGGGGAGCAGCTTTGCCAGGCCACGAAGGAAGACAATGCAGCCACTCCTGATGAGACCTAATAGACTAGGATCAGAAGGAAGGAGAGGAAGTCCTCCCCTATCAGTGGACTTGGGGAGGGGCATGCATGCAGAAGGGGAAAGAAGGGAGGGATTGGGAGGGGAGGAGGAAGGGAACTACAGGAGGTATACAAAGTGAATAAAGTATAATTAATAAAGAAGTTTTAAAAAAGAAATACAAAAAAGGAAAATACTTTAAAACTTTTTAAGACAATTTTATTTTTCTTTTAATTTATTTTATTATAATAATTATTATTATTACTATTAATTTGCTTGTATCCCTCTTATACATCCTCCCTCATGTCCTCCTAGTACCACCCTCCCTCCCTCTTACTCTCTATCCCTCTTCTACAAGCCTGACATAGCGCTGTGTTTTTAGGAAGTTACCTCATTGTCTTCACACTCATGTTTGCAAAAATCTTCATGAGAACATAATTTCTTGGATTTGTTTAGAATCTGGCAACTGAAGATGAAAAATAAGTATGTTTAAATATCTGGCAAGGAATGCTTCTCATACAGAGAACATCAGAGTGGTTCATTTGTTAAGGGAAGTCTATGTTAAGTTGAAACTTAATGAGGAAAGTATGGAGTCAACCAAGGCATCTCACTGATATAGTAGAGCAGGGGTGGCAGGGTTCTCGAAGTGCACAGAAACAGAGACTCTGGTGATGGCATCCATGGTCTGATGGTACCCATGAGGAAGCTGGCTAAGAAGCACCAGTGGGTTTCTTCTGAGACTATGAGCAACCAACCTGTAGCATCCTGGGAGTAGGGGCAGCGAAAAATGAAAACAGAGATACACATTATTTGAGAAAAGCTGTTTTAGCCATTCTCATTCTACTCTGCTCCAGACTTCTCCGGAAAGAAACAAATACCTACACTTAAATAAACACACATGTAAATAATATCCTGTTCTCCAATTTGTCGGCTGTGTGGAATCTGGCTGTTTTTAAAGAAGAGCTGGAATACAGAACATTTAAGAAGTCTTCTACGTTGCAAATGATTAGTGGACATCAAGAGGGATAGTTAATGCAGATAACATAACACACACAGGACATAAAGGAATTGAGCGCAGTGTAGACTTGACTACTTCCCCTCACTTGGCTGGAAGAAAATTATTTCCTAGTACTTTATCTGAGAAATAAAAGTGCAAAGAATTTCGGGAAGAGCAGTGACAGCAGAAGGACTTGAATATAAGGATAAATAGATTTTTAAAAATGAATGAATGATCGGCTGGGATTATAAGGCCCTCAATTCAACCCTTAGGACGAGAAAAAAAGTGTGTGCGTGTGGGGGGGGGTGGGATGTATGAATAGACTTCTGTCTGTGTATGATTAAGGATTTCATTTAAATAATCTAAATAATCATATTTGAACTAGTACGATTTTCATCTACAACGTGAGTCTTTCTGACCACATATTTTATGGAGAGAATTAATATATAGAGTGGATTCATTCTTCTCTGTTTTGCTCTATTTCGTGGATGTGCATGGGTGTGAACCTGTGAGTGTGTGTTTGTATGTGCACATGTGCTAGAACAACCTTTGTGTCATTTTTTTAATTGAACTCATTCTCATGAGACTTGAACTCATTAAGTAGGGCTAGCCAGTGAGCTCCAGAAATCCGGCTCGCTCTTCCTCACTTGTGCTAGTATTATAGGGGCAAACTGCGATACCCAACAACTTTTAGGTGGGTACTGAATATCACACTCAGGTCCCTGGGTCCATCAGCATGGCAAGCACTTTAAGTGACTGAGCTATCTCCACAGCCCCTTTCTGTTCCTCATAGTCTTCTATGTAGAGCAAGCTGACCTTGGACTCCTGATATGTCTCCCAAGAGCTGGAATTCCAGACCTTTGCCACCATGGCAAACCTTGCCAGAATATTTATATTAGAATGCCTCTCTTTTTCCAGTTCACTCATGGCTCAAGTCTTTCTTGCTGTTTGGTTCTTCTCCAAGTTGTGTTTTCTGTAACTTTTGAGAGATTTCGGTTCTCCAGTAAAGAAAGATGCAGTAGGTACAACATCATACTTCACTAAGTTATCACCTACACAGTTTCAGGGAGAAGTAAAGGATGGCCATTAGGATACTAGAGGATCTGCATGCATTTGTAAAAATTAGAACCACCTGAGAATATATGTAAACAATTAAAAAACACTTAAATTTCCCATAAGAGGATGTCTGTCGTTATGCAGTACTGTACTTTTCTCTTACTAGGACACTGGAATTATTCTTGCACTTCCCATTATTGACAAGCTAAAAATGTAGACCGCTTACGTAGACTCAATAATTAGATTCTTCTGATCACTAATCAGTGAAAAACAAAGCAAAACAAAACAAAACAAAAACTGGTTAAGTCACCCAGAGCTATAGAATGACCTCTTTGAATGTATCTGAAGTGGAAGGGAGAGATTACTGTGAAGTTTGAACCAAATAAGATAAATGGAGGGATGCTGTTTCCTGTTTCTCTGGTATAAACAAGGAAGCTATCCCACTGACCTAGCCACAACCAACATGTCCCAAGGCCACAGTCCTTTCTTCCCTTGCACTTTCCCTCAGGGAGAATTCTCAGTCATAAAAAGAGACTCGGTATGAATTCTTTCCAGAAATGATTTGAGCTTTGCGTTTATGACATCTTATTATAAGACAACCTAACATCTATTATTAATTGATGCACTAATTAAAGCCATACTTGCAGTTTCCATTAGCTTATTCCCTAAATTCTCCAGAGTTGGCTGTCTGGTTTTAATCAAAACCAAATGGTAGTCCAAGCTCCCCAGCCTGGAGCAGCTAGGAGGAAGTCATTCAGTGGAGGCACAAAAGCAGAAAAGATAAACAGATGAGAGTTCCCAAACTGTGTCTGGGGAAGGATGCACGCACTCTGCTAGCCACTTTAGAGATATGATTGAGGGACTCAGCCACGGAGGAGGAAGCATTGCAAGTGTTTAATGTCAGCAGGACCCTAACATGATCAAGATGGAGTCTGCCTTCTCCCTTTCCGGGCTGTCTGTAACTGGAGGATCCCCGACTGGAGGTAAGGCTGCATGGACTGTAACACAAACCACCGTGTTCTGCGAAGAAATCTGTAGATGAAAGGGAAAAAGAAAACATTCTACTTCCTGGATTCTCGGAATTTTACTTACAGATTTTCTCAAGTCCAGGATGTAAAATTTTAAGTCATTTTTTAAGGTTCTAAACTTTAGAAGAATTACGGTATTGAAAACCTAGGACTTCATCTAACTGTCTTTTAAAAAACTTTTGAAATAAGCTAGCAGAAGTATTCTGATCTCCATCTAACACAGTGGAAAAGGCTGTGGAGGGGAGAGCTGCGTTTTCTTTCCTCCTTGTTTTCCATGAGCCCTGTGGGATAGGAAGGACTAGGACTTTCTGACGCTAGCTAATCATCTCAAGAGCTTTGACAAACTCACTTCAGTTCTGTGTAAAATCAGAGCTTCAACGCCCAGGCGGCTCAGCTCAGCCCCTCCCCTCGGCTTCGTGCAGGCTTTCTCACATGCAAACTTCTCAGAGGCAGGAAATACTTTGCAGGCAATCTGGGCCTGGTTGTGGAGGCCCCTTTCGCAAAACATCAGTCTGCATTTAGAAGACAGAAGTCACTAGGAACGCCTTGACAGGATCCGGCTTTAGCTGAGGCTCCCTCCAGCTGCAGAGGGTGTTTTTGTTAGAATCACACACTGCCTTAAGGAGAACTGCTCAGAATAGAGTGTGACCTCAGCCACGAAATGTGAACTTAGATTTTGGAGACACAAACGGGACAGACTCCTCTCCTAGCCAGGCTGGAAAAGCATCATGTCTTGGAGACAACAGCAACTCCTGGCCCAGGTAAGAGGCTGTCATCTAGGAGGCAGAGTGGGGAAACCTTGGCGTGTTCCGCCAGCTGTTGACTGCTTTCAGAGCTGAGCCCTGAAAGCAGAAGGGGAAAATGTGTAGTCAGTAGAAAGCTGTGAGTCAAATCTTTTTAGCAAAATGTCATTTCTAAAATATGCTCCACATAGCTTGCGTCTCTTTCCCCATATAGAAATGTTTTGTTCTGGATTCTTTTTATTCTTAACTTTGTGACCAGTCTATCTATAACATGTTGTGCTGCTGGTACGTGTGGCATTGCTTGAGGCCAATAAATCTTACGTTGAAGTGTGAAATATTAGGAAATCTTCCTTCCTCTCTGTTTTCCCAACAGAAAGAGTACGTAACATGATAGCGGTTTTCTTAATAATGAGATTTCAAAGAATATTCTGTCTTATTAAAACTATCAAGTTAAAAAGATCAAATTCTTTAATATTTCCCTCAACTATTTTGATCACATATCCAATTACCAGTACACAACTTAAGTTGTTTTTTTAAGGCAGTAAAGATATACAAATTTACAAGTTATTTCTGTCTCTGCGTGTTTAATTTCAGTTTTGGAATTTAAATGTCATGATTGGGTTTTGTTTATATTAAACTTGGATTCCTTGCTCAGATCTTATGTTGTATGAGTACTCTGTGTAACTGAAGCAGTCTGACAGGCAACGCAATCATGTCAGTCATGTGAAAACGTAACCGACCATACATTCATACTTCATGTCATTGTGAAATCATACATCACCATGCTTACCTTCTAAGTTGTCTTAATGCTTAAATATGTGATCTGTGAGTAAATAAATGTACCGACGACTGAAATAACCTAGTTATTGTAACAAACCTGGTGTTACATGTTTAGATATTTAGGAGGAAATTATTTTGAAAATAAAAAGTATGGAATAGTATGTAAAGAGAACAAATATCCATGCCTCTCTCCAAATCTATAAAACAAACACAAAATGTAGTAAGTGAAAGATGAAGAGCAATTTTGACAGCTGGATCATAACAAATCAGTAAGGATTTTAATTGTAAACTTTTATAAAGTACAAGATAAGCATTTGCTTTGTTAGTTAATTTAAATATTAACTTCTAGGCTAGGATGGTTTATATTTGTGATTTGACATTGTCCCTAACAATTTCAGCTTTGTTAGGGCTTTTAAAATATGAAGAAAACAGATTTAATATGTAGAAAGTGAGATTTCGGAGCTTTGGGATATAGACCAGCGGGAGAGAAGTTGTCAGTCATGTGCAAGACCCTGGGTTCAATCCCCACCACCAACACACCAACAAGAAAACGGAGTTCTGGCCTGCCTAATTACTTAATAAAATAACCAAGTAGAATGACAATAAAAAAAAAAAAAGGGCACTACATTTTACTGTCTCCGGGGTTGTCAGAGACTGCCAGCAAGGAAGCTGAGGAATAATATCCACAAGTGCCCTGTCCAAGGTCATATTCTATGCCAGGGGAACCATAGACCCTGCATTGTGTGTTAAGGGCTTTACACCACGGACCTTGCTCTCAAATAATAACTATGCATAGTAAAGTAGGATCTAGAAGGCTTGTTTTCAGAAAGGAAATTGGAATCCTCTTACCAGGCCACAGAAGATGACAAAAATGCAGCCACTCCTGATGAGATCTGATAGACTAAGATCAGAAAGAAGGAGAGGGGGACCTCCCCTCTATCAGTGGACTTGGGGAAGGGCATGCTTGAAGAAGGGGGAGGGAAGGTGGGATTAGGAGGGAAGGAGGGAGGGGCTTATGGGGGGATACAAAGTGAATAAAGTATAATTAATAAAAGTTAAAAAATTCAAATTCACTAATTAACACTGTTTTCTCAATGGCTAAGATTTCTTTAAAAGATCCATTATGCTTTCATCTTGGTCTTTTAAACTAGCTGCTTTTTTATGACTATTTTGCTAAATCTTATTCTCATGTCAAGCAAGCCAACCTATATGCTATAACAATGCTCACTTAAAACTAGTGTTTCTTTCAAGAAAATGAACTAATGGGGAACTTGCTCATATCACATCCTTATATTCAAATGCTATAATAAAATTTAGCCCCACCAATGACCTGCAGAAGTAACTTCACCACCCTTCATCATAGTTGTCTCAAGACTCGCATCAATCTTTCTATTATCTCAGTTAAATATTTCTGCAGCCTATTTCCAGTCCTAAGTGCCAGGAGGCTATATGTCCATTAGAAAATATAAGTGTGCATTCTATACCTTTTTTTTTCAACTTTTGGTCATGATAGTTACTCGAAGGCTTCAGTATAATTCTCCAGTATAGTGGTTCTCAACCTTCCTAATGCTGTGACACTTTAATACAGTTCCTCATGCTGTGTGCTAACCCTGACAATAAAATCATTCTGTTGCTACTTCATAACAGTATGTTGCTACTTTCAATTGTAATGTGAATATCTGATAGGAAGGACATCCATTATGTGATCGCCAAGGGGTCATGACCCTCAGGAGAAGAACCAATGCTCTAGCATATACTATGCACCCCTTTTACATTGTATGAGGGCTGACCAGAAATGCATCAAATGAGAGTTGGCTAGACCTGCGTCATACTTCCTTTCTGACAACATATGTGTGCTGAAGCAGTGTTCTTTCCAGACAAAAATTTTTCCCATAAAGCGAATATGTTCTGTTTTTAACAGGTACCCTCTCCTGAGAGCAATGCTTCTCAACCTTCTTGATGCCATGACTCTTTAATACAGTTCCTCATGTTTTGGTGACCCCAAACCATAAAATTCTTTCATTACAATTTCAGAACTGTACTTTTGTGAATCTTAGTGTAAATGTCTGATATGCACGGTATCTGATATGTGACCCCTCTGTAAGGGCCATTCTTCAGCCCTGGGGGTCGTGACCCACAGGTTAAGAATCATTGCTTTATATTCTGGGCTGTAGAACTGTTCTGCTTTTAGTTTGGGGGTTTCCTAATACTAACACCTTCGATGCTCTAAACTCTTTCCCACAGCCATTACACTGCCCTGTGACAGCCTGACTCCCTAGCCACAGGATCACTGGAGTGTAACAAACAGAGACTATTGCTCATATCTCTGTTCTGAAGGGCACTCTCATTTACAGAACGGAGGCTTCAGTAGACCCTTTCAAACCATTCCATACCACACACCTTGCTGCCAATTCTTGAGATACATTTAATCTTATTTACTGATAAATGGATTCATGGGCTTAAAATTGGTCTAAAATGGGTCATTTCTGACCTGTCATCTTTTTATTTATTTTTTCTTTGAAGGTAAAAACATAAACAAAAACAAAAAAACTGGTATTGTGTTGCAATGAGAACAATTCTTTCAAACCATTTTTTTTGGTTTTTTTTGGTTTTTATTTAACTTTTATTAATTACACTTTATTCATTTTTTATCCCCCCATAAGCCCCTCCCTCCTCCCCTCCCGATCCCACCCTCCCTCCCCTTTCTGCATGCATGCCCCTCCCCAAGTCCACTGATAGGGGAGGTTCTCCTCTCCTTTCTGATCTTAGTCTATCAGTTCTCATCAAAAGTGGCTGCATTGTCCTCTACTGTGGCCTGGTAAGGCTGCTCCCCCCTCAGGGGGAGGTGATCAAAGAGCAGGCCAATCAGATTATGTCAGGGGCAGCCCCTCTTCCCATTACTATGTAACCCATTTGGACATTTTAATATAAGAAGTGAAAATAAGTGTAATAAGTGACCCATGGTTGACTCATAGGATTTTTTTTTAACATAATCAAGAAATATCAACAGTTTTGCATATAGGAGAAGGTTTCTTGAAGCTGAAATTAAATCAAACAAGCTTACAGAGAAATGTTCCTTTTGTTCACCTTTGAAGTCTTACAGAGCTTAATACTCTGGATCTTCTCTGGCCTTAAACTGCCTGTGACCTTACAAGTTGTGAGAAGTAAATGGACTTAGTTTTCAAAGAAGCTTTTAAAAAAAAATGAAGGCAAGCTATAGATGTTGAAATCTGACTAAAAGGATATTGATTTCATTCCATGGATTTTAAGGTTTCTTTATATATATATATATATATATATATATATATATATATATATGACCTTAAAAAGCAATTGACAGGGAAGCACATGTAAAATGAAATTTTAACTATGAGTCAACATAGCTCTCATCATCCCATTAGCTGACTTGAATGCATAGAAAGGACAGTAGCAGTGGGTTGCAGGTTTCAAGCAATTCTATTATATTGAAATACCAAAGCGTTTTAGCAATACTATTCAGGTAAATCAAAGAGAAACTAGAATTACTGATGGAGGTGGCAAAAAGGAGAAAGAACAAAAAGCACATTTAGAAAGTTTGTTTTCATTCCCAGCACCTAAAAATATCTCCAACCTATTAAGAATTATCAATCCCTGTTTGTCAGTAAATTGCGGAATGAATGGGAACAAAAGGGAAAGAAGAGAAAAACAGGGTTGCAGAAGGTTAACATGTGAGAGCTGGACTTCTACTCTAGCCTCCAAAATGATAGAGTAATACTTGTTAAAGGGGAAGAAAAATAAGTGGTTTGCAGAAGCCATCAGAAGCTAAGGCCAGAGGTTAACAACACTCTTATAAGATGACATTACAATTCACTAAGAACCAGAAGCATGAGCTTCCAGAAATAGTTTGAAATGAAAGCTTAGATGAGGCAGCATGAGGGGAGGTGGTTTACATAGGACAGGATACTGAAAGAATCATAAAGGATTCAGAACACTGACTCTGATTTCATCTCTGCTACTTAATGCTCCTTGGCTTGAATCATCATGATTCACATTTTGATGTACCGTATCCATACTGAAATAGCAGGAGCTGGCAAAAGGTAATATCAGTTCATACTCTGATTTTGCAGCTAAGATCATCTGAAGTAGTACTCATGAAATTACCTCCTTCTTGACCTCCTCTGCTCTTCTCCTCTGCTCCCCACATCAGCACCACTTAGCATCTAGTGAATGCCTAAAATGTGCCTTCGATTAAGCACTCT